ACCAATAGCTGATAATGTTTGAACGGATAGGGTTGCCATTTTATAAGGTTTGATCTTTATCATAATGAAGGGGTGTACGTCAACAAATATTATATTTCATGTATAATATATAATATAAAATGTTCTGTCGTCAATAGAAATAAAAATCTCGAGTTGCCTGTACATACTTGCGAATTTTACCTTGCCAGCAAGGTTGACTGGCCTAATCAACCATAACATCGCATAGCCCCTCTTGTGTGTGTCTACCTCAAATAAAATCTAGGCGTGTGATATTAACGCTATTAGCTGACTAATCTAAACGCTAGGCGGTCACTCTGAACCTAGATATCGGGTTTAAACGATAATTTATTACATATGCTGAGCTGGAGACTAAAAATATAGGGCTGGGTTAGTGGTGCTAAAATATGCAAATTTCATACTTTATTAGACGTCGGCCCCATTTGACTCACTTGTGAAATCTTAGGGTGAGCTTACACTGAATGCAGGCGACATTAAAAACTTATTTAAAACTAGCTTTCGCCCGCAACTCTGTCGGCGTGGAATTAAAAAAAAAGAAAATTTAGTAGCCTACGTGTTCTTTTAGACTATCGTCTACATCTATGCCAAATTTCATTAAGATCCGTTCAGCCTTTTAGGCTACAAACTCTAACAAACATCCATCTAAACTTTCGCATTTATAATATTAGTATGACTTAACACGTTAATCTTTGTAATATAAGTATATGAAATTAATTAAGGCGATAAAAATATTACAAAATCTTCTAAAAGCATATTTTATAAAGGACAAGCTTTCGCCAGCGACTCCGTCCGCGTGTAATTAAAATAAACGAAAGTGATTAGCCTATGTGTTCTTCCAGACTATGTTCCACGTTCATACCAAATTTCATTGAAATCCGTTCAGCCGTTTAGGCTACAAACTCTAACAAACATTCATCCATCCATCTTAACTTTCGCATTTATAATAGTATTATTAGTAGTAGCATAGTATTATTAAAGTGTTGCCACAATAACAACACATGACCATTATATGCTTTGCTTTTTTCGTGTTGTACATGGCAACCCTGCGGAGTAACCTCGCCTTGCTAAGTGAACGATTCACTTGGCTCATTGTTCGTCTTATGAAATGTCTAAAAAACTTCATTCCACTTTGATTTTTTTTATCAAAAAAACTTGACTTTTTAAACATACTGTAGTTATGGAATGGACTATAGAATATTAGTAACTAATGATTAGGACACACGTGTTTAAGAAAGGAGGTGAAATTTTATTCGATTTTGAATACATTACTCTTCTCTTTAATAAGATTTTATTTAGTAATAATTTATATTAAAAAATTGTAATCATTGTTTACACTGGTTTATAAAAATTGTCAACAAAATAAGTATTTATTTTGTGTCTAAATAATGTGTAAATAGTATGGCATTAGTAGGGTTGGGAGCAGACGGGGGCGCTGGCGTCGAGACCCAACACCGACCGCCGAATGCTAAGTAGTGCTATTAAGGAGCCGGGTCGCTGCTCGCTTTTTTATTCTGATTATTGTCTTATGGTACGATTTCACTGGCGCGACAAAGTGCGACAGAAATATTCAATGACAAAATAGGTCTACAGAGTTTATATAAACAGAAAAAAATGGCAATGCACATAGCTGTATGTGTCAAATGAACGTTATAACATAAAGAAATAAAGGAAATATTCGATATACAAAGGAAGAGGAAGATCAAAGAAAGTATGCATGGATTGTGTGAAAGAGGATATGCTTAAGAAAGGAGTGGATTCAGATATGACGGCTGATAGAGATGAATGGAAGAGCAGCACATATTAAGGATATATAGATATAAGGTTAAGGGCAAGTGGATGATGATTCCATAGAAGTCCAATCCAATCATATAACAGTCCAATCATAAAACATCTATACTCCTAGCTTATTTCAAATCAATATTGTTTAACGCTCACTCCGTAACGGGCCGATATCGGCCTGACGCGGTACTTAAGCTGGGGGGGACGAAGAAAACTATGACCCACTCGCTAGTGCGAAGCTATTATCTCAGGTGTATATATATTATGTAAAATGTATATCTATATAAAAATGTATATAATATCTATCTTAGTGCTGGTAGGTTTAGAAAGACCTGCCACGCACTTGTGGAAATATAATAGGGGGTGCATTATGACCCGCCGCCGCACCAGATGAAGAATGATTTTACATATACATTAATAATCTATTTTTTAATAGTATGTGTTGATCGCAGATGAGGTGGTTATTAAAAACGCATCCGCGCTCTGCGTAATCTCGGCTTATCTTAATACCATTGGATTATCAATGTTTGAGCGCAGTTTACGAGAGCCTCGTCTTCGTTAATACGTTCACTGAAGGTTAGATGAGCGACTCTCATTAGAGTTAGCAAGTGTTTAACGTGAGTTTTCACCAACGAAACATGTGTAGATAGGATAAACCATTTTTTTCGGAAACTAAAATGGAAAATTCAATAAGAAATAAATAATAAAGTTTTTAATATTTGTTTTTAAATATTTGAAAAAATAGATAGAAATTTAATTATATACAAACTTCAATGAAATGCGTAGAAGCAATTTAAGAGGCATATAAACTATTTTTGTTTAGTAATATTTAAATAATTTTTCAATTTAAAACTCTTTTATTTCTCAACATAAATATTTACAATTAAGCGACAATGATCAAAACTCTGTTAACTGTAAATAAAAACTGTGGTATCTTTGCGTAGTTTTAGTGGAATTGGATCTTAACCGTAGTTGTAACATGGCCGAGCATTAGCATGTCGTAAAGATTTGCATAGCCCCATGTCTTCCGGCGCGGTCCTAATGAAAACAACGAACTGAGAGACGACTGAACGCAACGGATAATGAACTAGTTATTTTTATTGTTTACTTCTTGTACAGCGTATGAATACAAATATTATCTATGGTTCGGAACAGATTTAAGGGTTGCCACTCAAGAGAAATGAAGAATGAGAATAAAACTGTTTCATTTTTTTTATAAGAGAAGGAAACGAGCGACGGGAACACAGAGGTGGTCAACGACTCCCATGGACATCCGCAACACCATAGGAACTATAGATGCGTTGCCGGCCTTTTAGGAAATTGTAGGCTCGCTTCTTGAAGAATGTCAAGAAA